CGCTTCCCTGGCCACGCCCACCGCGGTCGGGGCGCGGGTGGCGTGTTCACCAGGCAGAAGCTGGGGGTAATTTGCACGGTCATGGGCGCTCATGTCCGCTGGAAAAGTTCTTTTGCTTGCACCACGCACACCACTACACAACGCACACGCACACGCACACGCACACGCACACGCACACACACACGCACACGCACACGCACACACACACACACGCACACACACACACACGCACGCACCACGCACCACACGCACACGCACACGCACACACACACACCACACCACACACACACACACACACACACACAGTCAGTGAGTCAGTCTCTCTCTCTCTCTCTCTCTCTCTCTCTCTCTCTCTCTCTCCCTCTCCCTCTTCTCCTCTCTCCCTTCTCCCTGTCCTCTCCCTCTCCCTCCCTCCCTCCTCCCTCCCTCCCTCCCTCCCTCCCTCCCCCCCCCCCTAATAACCAGAGAGAGAGAGAGAGAGAAACGGATTTTTTTCTTCGCAAAATTTCATGGATGACCGTTCATATATATACACATTTTATATAAACAATTGTTCCGAAAGAAAAAAATACACGTTTGATGAATACGCTGGTCCGGTTTCTGGCATTAAAACTCCGGTTGTTATGCTTTGTAATTGAATGAAGCCCGGGGGGGGGGGGGGTTTGTGAAAATGATTTTTTTATTTTTTGAAAATGAAGCTTTTTTTTTTTTTTTTTTTTTTTTTTTTTTTTTTTTTTTTTTAGGAAAAGGTAAAGTGGATTTTTTAGATTCATTTCGATCAAAAAAGGCTTTTTGGCTTTTGCGCAAACAATGGTCTAAAAAGGTCGTCATTGTGTTTCGCGAGGCTGTGCGAATATTTTATGATTGGATGCAGCTGTGATAAATTGGCCATGATGGAGTGGAGAAAAGAGGGAGTGGAGTAATAGTGATAAAGATGGGGATTATAAAACTGTTACTAATGATAATGATAGTTATGATGATGATGATGGAGATGATGATGAGAATAGGAGCGGTTATACTAGTAATGATGATAATATTAATAGAAAGGGTAATTAGGATAATATAGATATGATTTATAATGATTAAGATTCATAATGATGATGTATTAATAATGCTTATGATAATAATAATGGTAATAATGATGATATGGATAATGATTTATTGTAATGAATTGGATAATAAGGATTATATCAATAGTTTGTAACAATGAGAATAATAATAATGATGGATAATTAATAATATTATAATGATATAATGATAATAATGATAAAATGCATAATAATGATGATAATAATAATATAATGAAAGAATGATAATGATAATATATGCTAATAATGAAAGAATATTGATAAGATAATAAATAATGAAGAATGATAATGATAATAATGAAAGAATGGTAATGATAAGTATAAATAAAAACATTTTTGCCAAGGAGCGCCCCCCCCCCACCCCCCCAGAGAAAGTCAACGGAATATATGAATACATAAACTGCATTATTATTTAAGTCTCGGTTGTTTGGTAAACATTTGTGCACCCTGTCTTGACTCCTGACCCCTCCCCCCCCCCGCCTTGACCCCCGCCCCTACCCCCAACATCCATCAGCTGTTCCCCCCCCCCCCCCGCCACTACCCCTCCTCCTTCCCCTTCCCCTCTTCGTTTTCTTTCTCCTTCTCTATTCTTCTTTTTTCCTTTTTTTTTTTTTTATGCCAGTGAGGAAAGGTTGAAGTGTATTGTTAGTGTTATCAATCATCACTGTTATTGCTGTTGCTTATGCTGTCACCTTCGTCATCACTATCACTGTCCATTATTATCGTTTTCACCATCACTATCACCACCACGTTAGCATTCATCCTCACCACCATCACTGTCACCACCACACTAGCATTCATCTTCACCAACATCACCATCATAAGCATTGTTTTTTTCACCATCAAGATCCACCATCACTTTCATCTGTTATTTAGAAAAAAAATAGACAAAAATAGACTTTCCTGTTTCAGGTGAAGGGTCGCGTGAATGAAGGGTGGGGTGGGGTAGAAGGAGGGGGTGGGGAGAAGGGAGGGGGAAGGAGGTGATGGAGGGGGTAGGAGGGGTGTGAGGAGGAGGGGGAGGGATAGGGAAGGTGGGGAGGGGAGGGGGAAGGGAAGGAGGTGGGGGGGGGGGAAGGGAAGGAGGTGAGGAGGGGGAGGGGGCAAGGGGTTGAGAAGAGGAGGGGAAGGAGGGGGAGGAGGGGGGAGGGGGAGGCACCTCGCATGTCTCTCGGCCATTAAGTATTATTTCCAGGAACATGACCGGAGATTCTTCATGATATCAGCTTTTCGGGTTTCAAAGCATGTCATTTTGCTATCGTGATAAGTGGTATTATATTGTTTTTTTTCTTTTCTTTCTCTCTCTCTTTCACGTATATCTTTTGAAAATAAAAAATAGAATGATTCTCTATGTATTTTTCTGTTCCGTTTTTTTTTTTTTTTTTTTTTTTTTTTTTTTTTTTTTTTTTTTTGCTTTCTTTCTAAGCGTGTGGGGGATGGGGGTGGATTATGGGGGTGGGGGGGTGAGATGGTTGGGGTGTTGATTACGCAAGTGCAAAAGCCCCTCTTTACTTCACACCCGCTTTGGTGGCGTGTGAGTTACGGCGCGGGGAATTATTCTCGTGTTCTCTCTCTTTCTCTTCTCGCTCGCTTTCTCTCTCTCTCTCCTCTTTTTCTCTCTATTCGTCGATCGCTTTCTCTCCGTTTTCTTTCTTTCTTTCTCGTTCGCTCGCTTTATGTCTGTCTGCCTCTGTCTTCTCTCTCTTCTCTCTCTCTCTCTCTTCTCTCTCTCTCTCTCTCTTCTCTCTCTCTCTTCTCTCTCTCTCTCTCTTCTCTCTCTCTCTCTCTCTTCCCTCTCTCTCCTCTCGTCTACCCACCTTCTCCTCCTCCTCCCCTTTTTCTCTCCCCCTCCTTTGCTTGGTACCTTCTCGTTTCCCGCTCCATTTACAATATTTACTCAAAGTGTATTTTCGGACAATTTTTCCATCGTCAAAACATCTTTCACATTTTATTTAGTTTGTAATCTCCCCCTTATTTAAAAAAAAAAATAGCATAATTGTTATCATTTTTTCTCCTTTCTCCTCTTTTCAGGACGAAAAATTGCAAAGGCGGTTGAATGCAATAACTAGCACAGATCATGCCTTCTTATCCCAAGGAGGTGAGTGTGTTGTTCTCTTGTTTTGTGTAAAAAAAAAAAGAAATTGTTTATTTTATTTTATTTTTATTTTTTTTTATTTTATTTTTTTTTTTTTTGTTCAAGCATTTTTCCAATTTTTGGTTAGTGATTTTTAGTTTTTTATTTATTGTGTGTGCGTGTTGTGTTTGTTGTTTGTGTTTGTG